ACCCTCATACATTACCCTATTCCTCCACATTTACAACAGGCATACGAGGATCTTGGTTTTAAAAAGGGGGATTTCCCGATAGCGGAGGAAATAGCGGAAACATGCCTGAGTCTTCCATTATGGCCAGGTATGACTTATGACGACGTTGCTCATATTGCGTCAGTAATAAAAGCGTTCCAGTTTTAATCCATTGCTTAGTTTGCCCAACAGTATATTTTTCCGATGAATTTTTTAAAGACTTCCTTTTGGGCATCCATTTCAACCGGAGTTACCATGCTTTGTGGGTTGATTACCACAAAATATGTAGCAGCAATGATTGGGCCTGCTGGTATGGCTTATGTCGGGCAGTTCGGGAATAGTACTTCTATGATCCAGCTATTTGCATCCGCAGCCTGTGCAACGGGCGTTGTGAAGTATATAGCAGAGACACAGGACATTGAGCGCCGCCGGAAGATATTCAGTAATGCTATATTATTATCTGTCGTTTGCACCTTCCTGGCAGCCATATTTACACTGATTTTTTCGAAGTACTTATCACAGCTATCTTTTCATGACAAGTCTTATTATGATATTTATATCATTTTTGCCGCTTTGCTGATTTTTGCCGTACTGAATGCATTATATAGTTCTGTATTAAATGGTGTGCAGCAGATCAAATTATTAGCTATTTTAAGTGTCATTACATCCATTTGCAATGTTGCTTTTATTTTGCTTGGCTATCAATATTTTGGATTGCGCGGCGTGCTTTGTGCTACGTTCATTTCTGCATTTTGTATTAGCGGGGTTTACTTATGGCAGCTCAAGCGGATCGATATTTTACCACCTCTGCGGGAAATCATTAAGGTCGATTATTCCATTATCCGCCTATTGCTTGGTTTCTCCGCAATGAGTATTGTAAGCGGCGTACTCGCTCCCTCCATGCAGATGTTTGTACGAAGTAAGCTAATGCTGGACAGCGCTGCAAATGCGGGTAACTGGCAGGCTTGTACGCGTATCAGCGACTATTACCTGAATTTTGTTTATGCGGTATTGGGTATGTATTACTTACCCAAACTGTCTAGTCTTACAGAGAAAAAAGACCTGAAAAAAGAAATCTGGTCCGGAATGGCACGTATACTTCCTGCCGTGGCTTTTGTTTCACTAATGGTATGGCTGTGCCGGGAATACCTGATCCAATATCTTCTTACTGAAGAATTCAGGCCGATGTTGCCGTTGTTAAAAGTGCAGCTTATTTTTGACGTGATAAAAATTGGTTCCTGGATGCTGGCTTATATGATGTGGGCAAAAGCCATGCGATATACCCTCATGATAAGCGAGATCGTTTTTGCCTTGTTGTATGTAGTACTCAGCTGGTTTTTTATAAATCATTTTGGTATGATTGGCCCGATTTATGCTTTTGGAGCAACCTACTCCATTTATTTTGTAACAATGCTTGTTATCTTCAGGAAAATACTATTTCATAAGTCATGAGGATTTTGCTACTAGGTGAGCTAAGCGGTTTGCATAAAGAGCTTCGGCATGGATTTGACATGCTGGATAGTGGGGATGAGGTGATCACTGCGGTAAAGGCATTTAAAGG